CCTCTAACCAACGTCGGCCCAACGGTTGTAACCAACCTTCACTAATGTTTACCGACGTCGGGCCAACAAAGTACTCTGACGTTGCGACAACGTCTGTTATTACATCCTAATATTTACAACCTCCAACGTCGGCCTAACGGTGGTAGCCAACGTCTATTTCAAACGTTTACCGACGTCAGGCCAACAAAGTACTATGACATTGCGACAAAGTCTTTACTTACATCTAATATTTACAACCTCTAACCAACGTCGGCCCAACGGTTGTAACCAACCTTCACTAATGTTTACCGACGTCGGGCCAACAAAGTACTCTGACGTTGCGGCAACGTCTGTTATTACATCCTAATATTTACAACCTCTAACCAACGTCGGGCCAACGGTTTTAACCAACATCCATTTCAAACGTTTACCTACGTCGCGCCAACAACGTAATGTGACGTTGAAGCAACGTCTGCAATCACATCTAATATTTACAACCTCTAACCAACGTCGGGCCAACGGTTTTAACCAACCTCCATTTCAAACGTTTACCGACGTCGGGCCAACAACGTACTGTGACGTTGAGACGACGTCTGCAATCACATCTAATATTTACAACCTCTAGCCAACGTCGGGCCAACGGTAGTACCCAACCATCTTTTTAGTAGTTTGCCGACGTCGGGTCAGTAACAAATCGTGACGTTGTACCATCGTCGGTAGTCAGACTGAATATTTACGACGGCTTACCAACGTTGGGACGACATCGGAAAATCGACAAATATATTCATACGTTGGGCCAACGTGAAATTCCAATGTTGGTTTGACGTTACTTCTCCGACCAAATTTTGCAACCAAACACCAACGTCGTACCAACGTCAGATATCCGACCCCGACGCTTACCGACGCTTGCCAACGTTTACCAACGTTGGGCCAACGTCGCTTTGCTAGCTGGGGAGGATGTTAAACAAAATCATAATGATGATAATGATAATAATAATGATGATAATGATTATATGTATAATGATGATGATAAAGATGAGGATGATTATGTTAAAGGCAGGCTCCTTAAGGAAAAAATGTTTTGATATGCTGTACAACTGTTTCTTCTCAGATACAATAAGGGGTGTATAACCACCCATTTAAACCTTCCCTCCCTTTCCTGTTTATAAATATTAAAAATCTGTATCTCATTTAACCATTCACTGTTTTTCGTTAAACAGTCTTTTTGTTTCAGAAAAAGCAGTTGTACAACATATCAATATTTTTTTTCTTCTGGAACCTGGCTTTAATGATGGTGATCAATGATGAATATAATCCATAAAAAGATGATGAGGATAATTATTACTGATGATAATTGTATTGATTATGTATTCAGTATCAGGCTATGTCTGAAGTATAAACATGCTGTGTTATTACAACCAGTCACAGGATATTTGGTTCTGTCTGTGAATTTTTCAACAACATAAACACAAGAATGACTCACTTCAAGATAACTTACATGCAGCTGTCCGCACGTTTCCATGGCTTGCAATTCTGTTTCACTCTATCCCACCAACCTCAGTTTGTCTGCTGCTTTAGAACTACAGCAGAAAAGTGTTTACTTCTAAACAGTAATACATGCATCGTTATCATTATACCAAAATATTTTGCATTATATTATTTCGGTATTTAAGAAATATAATTTTGGCGATTTTATTGTCATTTAAGAATAATAAAATTAGAATTATGAACACAAGATAAAAACAAACAATAAATGGAATCAAGTTCCTTGTGTTCCTCGTTTAAAATTAGACTGCTTTCTGCAAAATTTGTTTGAAAGACATTTGACTGTTATTTATTTTATGACTTTTCAGCAAACCTGGCTTGCAGCTTTACTGTATTTCTGTATTGCTTCTTATGTTAAGGCAAAATTAATGATGTATGATGATATGAGAACGAACCACCATTCACTTTGTTTTTCTAGTTGATGTCACACACATTTCTTTGGCGCTATGCATAAGTGGAGTCAAATGTTTGATAATTTGAGGGGTACCATATCTGTCACTATGCATTACATGGCTGTGGAGAGAATCTTCAGATCTACAGCCACACATCTTGTCTTTCAAACCACTATTCAACAAAATAAATAATTTAAATTATTATGATAAATTTTGGGAATAAACGATCTGTTACTGAAAACATTAATATAATATTGTTAAAAAAAAAAGAAATAAAAATAGTAATAATATTAAAATAATATATCCTTTAATACTCATTTAAAAATAAGAATCTATTTAATGCATGTTTTTGTAAATAAATATTTATATTTGACCATACAAACAAGTGCAAACCACATTGGTAATTATAGGAACACACTATACCATGTAGAATCCAAGAGTAATATTTGGAAGTTTCTGGAATCTTAGGTATTGTAGAGGCAATAAGCCTATCGGTTAATTATGATGTAAGGTGACCAATGAGGAACTTAGGCAATATAGAATGCTCTTGAATGCTCTGGAGTTCTAGAGCTAATGTATATAGGGTGAGAGCTTGGTCTTTCGGAAAGCTCTTTTTTATGTGAATGTTGTCTTATTTTGATAAATATTTAAAAAATATATTTTTGTTGTACCAGAAATCCTGAGCTTTTCAAGTGAAAAAAGATGGAAAAACAACTGTTTGAAAAAAAAATATATGTTGATTGAAACAAAAAAAAAAAAATCATAATTTCCATTAAAGTGATGAGGAAGGGTGTGATAAACTAACAATATTTTTTTATGGGGTCTTACCAAACTACAACTACTATAGTATATTTCTAAAAATATGTACCTTAAAAAAATGATCCATCAGAATTATGAAATATGAATAATAGTAACTTCGGTTACAGAGTGACGCAAAATGGACATGGTTTTTTACCAAATATACATTGCCAAAGCTCTATGAGAAAGTATAATACTGTACATACTCCAGGTATTGAAATACACGCCATCGTGTTGGGATTCAATAATAGGCAAGTTCATTTTACGTAGATGTTTAAATAAGGTAAAGAAACACTTAATTAAAGAGGTAAAATTCATAACTTTATGGCAGTATAAAAATGTTTCTCATTTTATATCTACTAAGGATCAAACCCCTAAGAGTACAGAAGTTCTGTTCTCTATCATTTTAAATGTCCAGGCTGCAATAGTATTATATTGGTAAGACAGATAAGTGCTTAATAACTAGACTTAAAGAACATTCTTCACGATCTGATAGTGTTTATATTTGATCATGTTAACAACTGTGAGGCATTCCAATATGTTTTAGGATTACAGGGTATACTTGAAAATGATAATGTCGTCTGTAATGTAAGTAATAAATTAGGTTAAATATTTTCTAGTACTAACATTATTGACAGCTCCCGAAACTGGTCTATCATATTGTTTAAAGAAGCGTTCGCTATACGTAGACTACACCCTTTGCTTAACAATGGGCTCAGAGCTTCAAAAGAGCTTTCTTTGTTTTTGTAGGTATCTTTGATCATTAGAGTAAGAATGCTTTGATCTTTTGTTTAAATCACTGCTGTCACCTACTATAGGTAATGTTTTGATTGGTTAAACACTTTTGGTACTAGTGCATATAAGCTTGCTAATACGGATAATTTTTTCATTCCTGATGATGACATAATTATTGTCAAAATATTGAAGCCCAACACGATGGCGTGTATTTCAATACTTGGAGTATGTATTATACTTCTTATCTGAGATTAATCAGTGGACCTTTCGGTTCTTACAAAGCTCTATGAATTCTTTATATGATTTTCTAAGGATAATTATATATTTCACCTTTGATTTGAAAAGCAGTTGATACATATTAATGACATGACATAATTAATGCATCCTTCCGGTAATGGAGCGACGGTAACAGTTCAAATGTCCAATTTTCAATTAGAATGAGGACAAATAAACAATTAATATTATTATTAAGATTACTACTCTAACAACTGAGCTATGAGGCCAAACTACCTTGTAGGATTTAGTTAACAATCTCATTAATCATTAGTATCTTTGTGTTTATTTACTATTATTCACAATTTAGAATTGAGATTTTAAGCATGTAATTGTAGTAATTACTATGCCATTTAAAGTCATTTTTTATGTTTTCTTTTGACTGCTTTTGTTTGTGATGTCCTTTCAATAGGTGGACTTTACAATAATTTTTGAAATAAAATTCAAACAAATTAACATAAAGAGACAAAAGATGCTCTATTACCTCTTTACTGTTACTATTCAAGTTTAGTAGCAGTGCATGAACAGGCTGAAAATATGCTAGGAATTGCATTTGAAGATAAAAACGCCCCCACAGCAGGACCCCCTAGCAGTGTGACAGTTGCTTTTGTGTTCGTAAAATATATAATGCGTGTGCGTGCACGTACAGAATAGCCTAATAATGTATAATGCGAGTGTGCGTATAATAGAATAGTTTAAGAATTATGAAAAATGTCGCATACATACAAAAGAAACTGTGTGCGATGTATTGTTTAAAATCGCGCTTTATAAGAGCATAATGAGAATGTGTGTTGGCTATTAGAAGGTTGTGTATAACTGTATGAATGTGTTTATAAATAAACTTATAACCTACAGTACTTCTAGTTTATCTTTTATTTAAGATAAAATGTGACCCAAGCTCACAAATGGCCTGTAAACTCATCCTCATGCTAAAATGAGTTTTTGTTATAATGGCATAGAACATATCATTTACTTAAAATGACAGTTAAATGAACTCAATCGAGTGTCTGGAAGCAAAGTTTTGACTGTTTGAATAACATTGTCATCTTATCAACTTTCTTAAATCAAGTTTTGAGAAAAATGCTTTTATTTTCAGCAGGTTTCTATTCATTTTTCATTAACTCCCATCCGAAAAAGGCTAAATTCTACCTGGAATTTTAAACTCAACCCTCAGGAATATTATGATTAATAGTTATATTTTATTTATTACACAAACACCCAATTCACACAAAATTCACGTTCTATGCCCTATTCTGGGTATTGAGGCTTGTTTCTCAATACAGTGTAGTGCAAGTTTACAGCCCATTTGTGAGCTTGGGTCACAAATTGTATAAATAATAATAAAAAATATAATAATAATAAATCTAAAAGTAATATGTGCATGTATATAAAAACACTATTGAATTAAAGAGTGTAAAAAAGTTTATTCAAAATTATTTAAACATTGTACATTTTTTCAATATTTGAAATTAAACACAAATTATAATAGGACATTATATAATCAAGAACTATATATAATCAGTTAATTTAGCGTGGAGCTTGGAGCTAGTACAACAAATACATTTAATTTTTTTATTATTATAATTAACATATTTTATGTCATATTTGTTCTTAACAAGATGACTATGATTATCGATTATGTCTTTCAAAATTTCCCATTTTTTAAAATAAATTTTATCAAAATTGATCTTCATGATAAATTTTTCTCTATTAATACCTTGAACGTATTTATTTTTAGGAATATCAATACTATGGTTAAATGACTGGTATGGAATACACTGTTTATTGAAAAATTTGGATGTATAACCGATATTTTTAAGTCGATATTTTTTAAATAACTTTGTGATATGAATGTATTCTTTGGCATTACAGGATAGTCAAAGATATTACATTCAGTTTTAATTATACACTTTAAAAATTGAAGGAGCACGGTTTGAGGTTTACGAATGTATGTGTTGCTCTGGAATGGTTTCTGATTAACGCTAAAATGAAGAAGTAGTTAGGGTCGAATAATTAACGGATATGTGGGTATTCAAATATATCATATTAGTGGGGTGCAAGGTAAATTAAGTGGAATGTCAGGGGGATAGATATTAACAATGGATTGGATTAACTTAGAAGATTTTAAAGTAGGGTTCATTATGATTAGCGCACCATCGTCAATGTATCCAAATCAAATTAAATTCTCTGAACAACAAAGTCTAATTTCATTTTCAAAGTCATTTGAATACCTTGTACTTGTTTAAATGTATGATTTCCTACATTAAAGTACTGTAAGTGTGATTATTAATTAATAAATTTAATTTCAGTAGATGAATTTCTAATTTAAGTGATTTACAGTGCATGTGACATAGAGTTTGAAGTATCGGCTAATGTATTAAAGGTTAGTGTATACATTTTTGAAGTCCCACGTAATGAAAAATTGTTGTGTATCTGTAGGTTTAATTAAAAGTTGCTGAATTCTGCTAATGAAAATTCAAATTATTCATAGTAGGAAAAATTACATAAGAATGTTCGTAGATGAGCCTTATTTTAGAAAACTAAGTCAATAATGTGTGTTCCCAGAATTTCGGATAAGGGAGTAGTAATCCAGCTGTACGTTGTAATTAAAAGGGGGGAGAGGGGAGGTGGGTGTATATATTGAGAATCCTCTACAATATTCACAAAAAGGTTTTCAACGTTATAGGGAAGGCATGTGAAATGTTCAACGCTACATGCCCAAATCAAAGCCAATCTTAGAATAACTACAGTATCAAAGTATCAAGTACCATTTCTTTGATATTGACAAACAAGTAGAAATTATTATGATCCTTAAACTTGGAAATCCTGCAACCACTATGCGCTATAAAAGGATTAAGACATTTTCATATTAAAAATAGCATCCTGAAGAGGTTTGTTGCATAACAAAATACTTAATGTTCAATAAATTATATTTTGTATAGTAAGTGCTGTTCGGTATATTTTTTGATGAGACTGATTTAGTTCAGTTTATTATTCACAGCTATTCAGGGGTCCTAAGTTGGAATAGTCACTCCAGGGAGATTATATAGTTAGACATTTTTTTCTCATGTACTTTATATCAGTTTCTGGTTTTACTGTTTTCTTGGTAAGCTTTTAAAGCTTTCTAGTCCTTATATTTTTGTTCTAAGTAAAGTGATCAATGAAACATCTAAGCTTGTAAAATAACATACTCTAAGAATCCATTGCTTACCCTTTCAAATGACTATATACAGTACTTGACTTTTTCAAATTTTTCATCTGTCCACTTAATGACTAAATGACATTTACCACCAGCCAACTGTTGCCCATTTGGGTCATCACAGGACTGCTGCTCTTCCGATGCTGGTCGTAGTCTTTCATCACTGATGTTAATTAGCGAGCTTCTAATTAAAAAATAATTAAAATAAAAAAAGTGTGCAGCCTTTGATCAATGATTTGGAATTGGCACTATATAAATCATTAGCATTACAGTATATTATTATTATTATTATTATTATTATTATTATTATTATTATTATTATTATTATTATTATTATTTTAATTTTTATTATTATTATTAATCTAACTATTTAATTAAACATTTGCTGATCTGTTATGATGTTAAATAAAATAATAATGATACTGGTATTAAAAATGATGATGTTAAAAGAAGTTGATTACTAGTATGTTAAAGCCAGACTCCGAAGGATAATACTTTTTTGATATGTTGTCCAAACACGCAAAAGGGGTGTAATTCCACCTCAATCATTCCAGTGCCTTTTTGTGTCTTAGAAAAATCAGTTGTACAACATCATCAAACTCTTTTTCCTTTGGAACCTGATTTAATGATGGTGATAATGATGACAATAATTATGAAGAGGATGATGAGTGATTGACTTTAATGATGGTGATAATGATGACAATAATTCTGAAGAGGATGATGAGTGATTGACTTTAATGATGGTGATAATGATGACAATAATTATGAAGAGGATGATGAGTGATTGACTTTAATGATGGTGATAATGATGACAATAATTATGAAGAGGATGATGATTGATTGACTTTAATGATGGTGATAATGATGACAATAATTATGAAGAGGATGATGAGTGATTGACTTTAATGATGGTGATAATGATGACAATAATTATGAAGAGGATGATGAGTGATTGACTTTAATGATAGTGATAATGATGACAATAATTATGAAGAGGATGATGAGTGATTGACTTTAATGATGGTGATAATGATGACAATAATTATGAAGAGGATGATGAGTGATTGAATTTAATGATGGTGATAATGATGACAATAATTATGAAGAGGATGATGATTGATTGACTTTAATGATGGTGATAATGATGACAATAATTATGAAGAGGATGATGATTGATTGACTTTAATGATAGTGATAATGATGACAATAATTATGAAGAGGATGATGAGTGATTGAATTTAATGATGGTGATAATGATGACAATAATTATGAAGAGGATGATGAGTGATTGAATTTAATGATGGTGATAATGATGACAATAATTATGAAGAGGATGATGAGTGATTGACTTTAATGATGGTGATAATGATGACAATAATTATGAAGAGGATAATGATTGATTGACTTTAATGATGGTGATAATGATGACAATAATTATGAAGAGGATGATGAGTGATTGAATTTAATGATGGTGATAATGATGACAATAATTATGAAGAGGATGATGAGTGATTGAATTTAATGATGGTGATAATGATGACAATAATTATGAAGAGGATGATGAGTGATTGACTTTAATGATGGTGATAATGATGACAATAATTATGAAGAGGATGATGAGTGATTGAATTTAATGATGGTGATATGATGACAATAATTATGAAGAGGATGATGATTGATTGAATTTATTCGTAAAGTCATAAAATACATATACATAAAAATGATATACAAAAAAACCAACAAAATGAAAATAAACATGACCCTGATTACAAGGAAAAGCCCCAAAAAAAACACTGTAATTATGTATGGGTTTTCAGTATTAGACTGTCTCAAGTACAAACAATGCTGTATCAGAGCCAAATCACAGGACAATTAGTTCAGAATATTTAAATTTTTAATAGCATTTAAATGCATTAAGTTAGGCTCGTAAATTAACATAACATGAACACAAGAGTGAAGAACTTCAAGGTAACTTACACGCACTGCTTGCACGTTTTCATGGCTTGTAATTTTGTTTCACAGATTTATTCCACATCTCAATTCTTTCAACCTCAGTTTGAGTAGGTTCACCATCAGGATGAAGGTCAATAGTCATGTGGGCCTTATTACCTACTGCTTTGGAACTAAAGTAGATGCAAATATAGAGAAAGTGTTTACTGTTTGTAGGCCTACTGTGCAGTGTGCTACATTCATCGTTATTTCTGTTTTGCCATTATAATATTTTTAGTATTTTAAAATAAAGAAAATTATTTTTTTTGCATGGTTTATCATTCATGAATAATAAGATAAAAATTATGAGCACACAATATATAAACAAACCATAAATGGAATGCAAGTTGCATGCAAAATACTCTTTTGATTGGAAACCGTGTGCAGTGTTGATCAATATGACTGCATCCCTTTAATATCGGTTTAAAAGATTTGTCAATTTTGTTTTATTTTAGATATAATAAAGCACTTTCCCCCCAGGGTCCACATGCTTCAATGTTGTTTCTGGTGGTAAGAAACAAATAGTGCAGATAAACTGCTTTATTCAAGGACACAAGCGAAATGCACAGTAAGGATTTGAAACCCTAACTTTAAGAACCACGATTCCATTCCATTTATTGACAATTATACAAGTAGATGAATTTTTTTTCATGAGTTGGGAATACACAAAATATACATATAAATTAAATAATTACGTGAAGAAAGACATAAATACAGTGCATAAAATACTTAAAATATATTTAAATTAACAATAAATAGAATATATGAGGAATGCCATCCCAAGCCCAGCGTACTGTAGCTGTATGTTAAACTAAGTAATAACAATGTATATGTGAGTACTGTACTGTATATACTTTAGTACAGAAAAGCCATAATACTTATACTCATAACTTTGGCAAAAGCAATTCAGTTGCAGTAATGACCTATCATTTTAAAGCTTACCATTTAAAGAATCAGAATATATTCAAAACTCAATTTTCATTTGTTAGTTACTGATGCTGGTTTTGGGATGGCAAGCTTCAGGATACAGGAATGAAGATCTGAGTTGTACTCCAAGGAGGTAAATGAGAAAAGCTGTTATATATGGAGGTCAAATGTTGATAATTTGAGGGGTACCACACCTGTCACTATGCATTGCATGGCTGTGGAGAGAATCTTCAGATAGGCCACACATCCTGCCATCACACAATTACTACTACAGGCCTTGTCTGATTAACCACTATTCAACAAATTAAAAAAAAAATTAAAATCAATATGATACATTTTGGGAATTGAATACTGCGTACATCTGTTCCTGAAAAAAAAAAATAATAAAAATTGAAATATTTAATAGTAATTTCAAAATAATATAATTTAATGCTCATTTCAACATAAGAATGTACTTTTGGAGACAAAAAAACTCTGTTTACCAGGAAAAATTATTACAATTATAAAACAAAAAAATAAATAAAAATAAGAATAATAATAGTAATTTTAAAATAATATCCTTTAATGCTCATTTCAAAATAAGAATCTACTTTTGGGGTTTTGTCTACAGCCTGGCTGGGTGCGAAACCTACTTTATCAAGTCAATAACGTTTTATCAGTGGAATAGTGGGCTGTAGAAGTAGTGCAATTTGTGGATTACTATCAACTTACCGGGTGTGTCTGTGGCTCCATTGCTAAGCCTGTATGACCCACAAGGGCTTCTGTCTTGCTGAAGGCTACTAGGAGGATTTAGTGGCGTAAAATCTGCCTCAATTGTCTCCTTCATTGCAATTCTTAACAGAAGAAAACAAAGACTAAAGAATAGATAACCACCAGTGCCCCCCCCCCACCCCCACATGTAATTGACAATGAATCTTTTTACTTCAATTTTTGAGGATTTTTATCTCAAAGTAAAAAATACTACTGCTACAGTATGTTTTTTTGGATTTGCATATATAGTAATATTAACTGGCAGACCTACTGTATATAATTCAAATAAACAAAGTCTCCATGCTTTTCCCATTAAAAATAATGAAAACCTAAACTAAGTGAATAGACTTCTCCCCTATTAAAACTGACCAGAGGTTTAGAGATGACCACTTGTTGTTGGGCTTTCATGTCATCTCACGCTGCTGGTCAATATATAGTTAATGTATTTGAGGAATTCTATGAGAAGGAAGTTCAACTTTATAGGGAAGGGCATTTAAAAGGTGAATTTCCAACACTGCATCACCAAATCAATGCCAAACTGAGACAAAATTGAAACCACCAACTTGCTGGACAGCACCACCGTTCATTTCATACATAATGAAAACTTTTCCCCTATTTTCGACAAAAGCTCATTCAGGTAAAATTTGACCTGCATCTTATGCATGAACGCACCAACTGCAGAAAACTCGAAATTCATAGCTGCTATTGGCCTTTAAGCGCGTGACGTCATACATAGAAAGGGAAAAACAGTTCTGAATACAAAATTTTAAAGGAAAAATGATCAATGGTTATTTAAGCAACAAGCATGGGACTTACATAGCAATAAAGCTTAATTTATGAGCTACAATTGACCTTTAACTCTGAAGTTTAGCGACCTGTCGTTGCACAGTTATGGTAAAAAGAGGCAGGAAGTATACCAAGAAACACTCTACAAACACCAACATTTATCATTTACCAATAATTGCATATTAGTTTCGAGTATTGTGCCTTAATTTATTCAACATAACAGTATTGTTTATATTATTTTTGTAGTCGAACAATTTTAGGCAATTTTTAAGATAAAATTGAATTTGTCCTGATCAGGATTCAACCCAACACCCTCTGAATATAATTTGAATATTCTACCAATTTGTGGTATCCTCTCTTGCATTTTCCAATTTGGAGCATTTGTTTTTCCAAGGTATTGCGTAATATGCAGCAAACAATAAAGAAGTTGATGACAGTTTGGTATGAAGGAACACCTTGCCAGTCAAGCCATAGGTGATAAGGTTTTGAAAAAAAAAACATTGTCTCCATCAGGATTTGAACCCTCTATTAACTATGTGGATGCTCTATAAAATTACCATTTAAAATGTATACCAGCTCCCCTAGTTAGCCCCACCCTCTCCCCAACTCCACCCCCAAAAACATAAAGAGATAAAAGATGCTCTATTTACCACTTTACTGTTACTCTTCAATATATCAACTGCATTCCCGTTTCTATTGTAGAGGACGCTATTGAGATCAGACTCATCATTTAGGCTGTCACATGTGGGCTGGGTGCTCAACTTTTTGGCTCTCAATTGTTCCATGTGAAACCAGCGAGTCCCTGCTTCTACTCAGATTTCACTGTGCATTCACTTGCAAGAGAATTATTCTACCATACGAAGAAAACTTCTGAAACTGAAGGCAGTACATTTTGCTGGAAGGAATATACCAGGAAAAATTGATTTATGAATAATATAACTAACATGTAAATAGTGGTAGGCTATACAGGGTTAAAAAACCGGGTGATATTTCAAATATCAAATGCACAGGTCCTAAATGAAGCGGCTTATTGTCCTCAACATTTTGGCACTTATTTGTTTGAAAAACAGGACAGTGAAGGCCAAAAAACGAAATTGAAAGGGGAGGGGGGAAAATGACCACATTAGCTGTTAAAATACAAAAAGGTCATAACTTTTTTATCTGAAGTCATATATTGATGATATTAGTGTCTATGTTTTTGAGGTCAAGAAACTGATTAATGGTGTTAGAAATACTTAAAAATGTAATTACAGTGGTTAAATTTTTTATTTAACGTTTTTTTTTTTTTTTTTGGGTGTTACGGTAAGAGTACAAGTTACGTATTGTATGAAAAAATAAGCACAGTTTAACTTTTTTTTCCCCATCAATAATCATTGTAGCAATGTCTATTTCCATTCTTATTGTACTTTTCAAATCATAAAACATTTTAATGAGCATTGTAGAGCTGTATGTATCTTTGTTTTGATGACGCCTAATGTGCGTACAGTATCAACAACCATTAGACATGCTGTATGTAGAGTACAATCATTTTGCAACACACAGAAGGTTTTCAATAAGAACAATTTCAGGGGTATTTGCTTATCTACTGAACACCAAGGGTAACCCACCCACCCAGTCTATGCACTTATTTTCAATGGTGTCCTTCAGGTGGTGATTGGTTAGTCCAGCAATTTAGACCAACCTCAGTATTTTCCAAACAAGTGCCTTCTTTACCATGCACATTGGACTCTGGTTTAAACAAGGGGTGGGGTTGCTGATGTCGGGGGGTGAAGGTGAAGTGCTTGATCATTAAGTTAGGAGTTAGCTCACAATAATTAGGAGACATGAGGTGATTTTTATACCTTGAGCATAACTTTATTTGCTTCAAACATTTTTAATAGGGTGACACCCTTCTCCGCACACCCCTAGATACATACACCACTGCCTGTGATTAAAATCAAAAGGGTTTCATCTACAGCATGTGGCTGTGTGTGAAACCTCTTAAAACACTTCTTAGCTAAGTGCTGCTGGAGAGTAATTAACTCAACCAAGTCAGTGGTAGTGTGAACGCCACATTGCAACCACAGTGGTCTGTAAAAGTAGTGCAATTTGTGGATTACTATCAACTTACCGGCTGTGTTCATGGCTCTACTACTAAGCCTGTGTCTGAAACCCTAGTGCTTCTGCCTGGCTGAGGGCTACTAGGAGGATTTTTTTGGCATAAAATCTGTCTCAACAGTCTTCTTCATAGTAATTCTTAGAAGAAAAAAATACAGAGATACAAGAATGGATGAACCCACATGTAAATAATAATCAATCTTTCTACTTTTGAGGATTTTTCAGTGAAACTCTGCTATGTTTTTAGGATTTCACATAACAACAACACAGGTAGACACATATTAAATGGGAAATAAGAAAGTCTATGCCTTTCCATTAAAGATAAAGAAAACGTAAATTAAGTGGATTACATAACAGATTATATGCAACTTGACATAATTTATCATCACTGTTAAAAAATTCCCAGAGTACATTTACATAAAACTGACAATATTGCATATTGCATTACTACGATAATTGTTTCTAGTGTATGGCCTATACCCAATAAACATGTCTTTGTGTTGATTGTTTTTTCTTCTCTCATTTTTTCCGAGAGAATGAGCTTACTGTATATCTGGGAATCCTCTAACCATTTATATTGAAGGTATGGCAAATTTTCAAAACTGCATGCTCAAATCAAAGCCCATTTCAAGTGTTATTTATGGCTTATTAAAATATAAATAGCTATTTATTTGATGTTAGATTCTTTTTAAAAACTAAACTAATTCAGTTTTAAAAAAATGCGTAAAATGATTTTTAAAAAATCAGTTTTAATACAGAATTATATTATTGGGGGCCATTTTTACCAGGGCAATTTTTACCTTACACCGCCAGACACACTCTTTGATCACCTAGTAAGCCTACAGTAGGCCTCTAGTCGAGTAGTAGTATATAGATCAGACCATATAATAGGCCTCTAATAACTCTAATAGGCCTCTATAAACAGCCTAGGAAGTAAGTACCTTTTTAGGCATCGTACAATCTATGTATGAGGTATATAAAACAAATATTGACTACTCTAAATTCGAGGAACAGTGAAATCTATTGCCCGTCAGTGATGTGGAGACTGTAATCTATCTTCACTTGGGCCGAAGACTACGGCCTTCACATCACCTCAGAGAAATAGATTTCAACATTCCCCTCAGGAGCAGTCAATATTTGTATATTTAATACATCACTGCAAATTTGATTTACTATTATTATTATATTGAAATGAAAATACCCTGTTAATATAGAACAGCAAAGAGGGGGTGACAACGCTAACTAGAATATCCACCACTGGATTGGACAATTAGATCCTTCTTAAGCTAGATTTATATTAGACACGATAACGACATATCATCGCGTAGTTTGTATTCTTTAACGCTGGGCGCAATATGTGGCGTAGTGTCGTAATCGTGTCTGTGTAAATGTAGCTTAAATAGTGGGGAATGGGTCGATATCTTATTCCAATTCTGATTCCTGTTCCTGCTTGTCGTGAGTGAATCTGATACCTAGCTTGGATTGTTTACGTACCCTACTCTGCAATGTATGTTTTGTTCGAATTATACACAGCTAATGGAGGGTGAGTTGTGATTGTTTATTTAATTCTAATTAAAGTGGCCAAAGAGTAAATTTAGTATTGCAGTCTCCTGTCTATCTTTATTGTTTTTGTAATTATACAAATGACGTGAAATGTACTTTGTTTTATTGTCTATTGTATTATTTCTTAATCTATAATTCACATTATACGATTCAAAACCAGATGAAATTGTTTGATCATCTTATATTAAGCGTTTGGAAAGTTAAAGACAATGTTTATATCCGTACGTGTCTGTTATATTGTATGTTGTAGTTAAGTTGGGTGACGATGCACTGCAGCCGTGGGTCCCCAGCCCAAATTTCCAATTTTTAATTAGAATGAGGTCAAATAATTTAAATTATAATATTATTATTAGATTTACTACTAAAAACTGAGCTATGACGTCAGGTATACCCCTCACTACAGATAACAAGTGATTCTAGATTAGTGCCTGTTGGGGACCTGCTTGAAAAAATGAGAAGACAGAGAGACTGTGATGGAAATTGGCCGGCGGCAACTGTCAGAGCTTTATTGCTCAAATTATGTTTCATTTTGTCATTTGATTGTCATCTTTAATGTTTATATACTGCAATCACAGATTAGAATTGAGATTTTAAGCATGTAACAGTAGTTACTATGCCATCAAAGACAATTTTTACTGATGTTTTTTTTTTTTTTTGTGATGCTCTTTCAATTTAGGTTGATTCAACAATTGTGTCAAAACAAAATACAACAAGCTATAGGGGAAAAAAAAAGAAAATAATGCTCTATTACCTCTTTCCTGTTACTATCTTCAATGTTTCAACTGCATTCCTGACACTATCATAGAGGGCGCAGACTCATCATTCATGCTGTCACATGTGGGCTGGGCACTCTGCTCATCTTTTTGGCTTTTACTTGTTCCATCTGAAACCAGCGAGTCATTGCTTCTACTCAATTTCACAGTGCTTTCGCATGCAACAGAAGTTCTCGGCTTTTCGAAGAAAACTTCCGAAACTGATGGCCGTATATTTTGCTGGAAGGAATGCCAGGAATTAAGGAATAATATAAATAAACATGTAAGTTTACATCTCAGTCATTAATTTAATGAATTTGAAATGTTAAAGTATATTGTATTTGAAATCGGTTAATTTCTCCTACGATCAGTAGCGTATCTAGAAGTCTTGAAATGGGGTGGGGAGGGGTTGTTGATTGCGAGGGGTGAAGGTGAAGTGCTTGATCATCAAGTGAGGATGTGCTGGTTCACTATAATTACGTGATATGAGGCCATTTTAATATACCTTGAGCGCTACTTTTTCACTCCAAAAATTTTCAAATGGGGGAACACCCCTTCCTGCACAGCCCTAGATATGCCACTGCCTATGATTAGAATCCAAAGGGTACTTGATATCATCTACAGCATGTGCTGTGTGTGAAACCTCCTTAAAACACTTCTTAGCTACTGTAGGGCTGCTAGTACGATTAGGTCAACCAAGTTTGTCAGTGGTAGAGGGCGACATTACAACCACAGTGGGCTCTAGAAGTAGTGCAATTTGTGAATTATTCTCAACTTACCAGGTGTGTCCATGGCTCCACTGCTAAGCCGGTGTCTGACCCTTAGGGCTTCTGCCTTGCTGAGGGCTACTAGGAGGATTTGGTGGCATAAAATCTGTCTGAACTGTCTCCTTCCGAGTAATTCTAAAAAGAAAAAAATAAACAAAGATAAAAGAATACATGACCTGCTTTTTTTTTTCTTTTCTTTTTTTTCACATTTGCACATAATATTATAACAGGTAGTCATAGTGCAATAAACAAGGTCTCTATGCTTTTCCCATTAAAACTAACATAAACCTAAAACAAAGTGAACACCTATAACAAATAATAATAATGATAATATGTAATTGTAACTTGACATCATTTATCATCGTTCCCTTGAGTATACTTACATAAAACTTCCGCTAAGCATATTACAATACATTACTACCGTAATTATTTCTTGGGTAAAAGCCTACCACATAAACATGACATTGGGTTTATTTTTTCTCCTTTTTTTGAGGAAGGAAGGGGGAGGGGAGAAGGAGGAAACACTGGTACATAAAATCGAAATCATCAATGTAAATTTCATCCCATTTTTAAAAAATACTGCAAGAAAGTCTCAGAGTGCCATTTCCGAGCATCTAGGTGGCTATTTTAAAAATGTTCTCAACTCACCTAAAAAGCCAATTTGGTAAAGCGGCATCAAACGTGTTAAATACATTTTTAGCCACATATACGTTTGTGTATCTAAGTACCAATATGTTTGTTCAATCCACCAAGTCATGTATATCCACTATTGAGGTGCAGCACTTTGTAGCATAATTTTACTCCAGCCAATGATATTGACAGTGGCCTGCTGCTTGGGATCCCTAGACTACTCTACTACTACAATACATGACATAACAACATATGACTTTGGCAACATATCATAAGTTCTACATTTGTTGTGGTATATAATTAAAAATAAAATATATAAATTTGTTAAAAGAATGACGGTGTTTGTCTTATTGGTCAATAATCAGTCATCCAATTAATCAACTAGTCATTTAATCAGTCAGTCAATCAATGCATATACATGAAAAAATAAATCATCACAACAATTAAATAAAATATATATTTTTTTCTACATCATTACTTTAACAAATTTGGCTAATTATTATTATTATTATTATTATTTTCTTGTATCTAACAAAGTAAACAAACCCACAACAAATAAAACAACACTCTCAATTGTTTGTCAAGGCCCTGTGCAGACTATCAAATTTTATTTGACAAAAAATGTCAAGATAACATCATCTCATGACCATATATAGGCACATCATCACTATATATGGGCATCAATACTTTCAGATGACATCATCTCATGACCATATATAGGCACATCATCACTATATATGGGCATCAATACTTTCAGATGACATCATCTCATGACCATATATAGGCACATCATCACTATATATGGGCTTCAATACTTTCAGATGACATCATCTCATGACCATATATAGGCACATCATCACTATATATGGGCATCAATACTTTTTTTTTTTGTCAAAGAATATTTGATGATCTGGACAGAGCTTAAGGTATTGGGGATGACAGATCACTAGTGTAATGCACCTCTAAAGGAGTGTCAACCAAACCAACAACTGATCCATCCACATCTCAATTCTTTCAAACTCAAGTTTTAGTATGTTCACCATCAGGTCGAAGGTCAATAGTCAGGTGGACTTTGCCTACTGCTTTTGAACTACAGTAGATGCAAATGTGGAAAAAAAAATGTTGACTGTTTGTACTATGCAGTTTGCTAGATGCATCTTTATTTGTTTGTTTTTTTTTTGAATTATAATATGATCAAATATTCCAAAAGAAATACATTTTTTTTTTGCATGTTTATTGTCATTTATGAATAATAAAATAAAAATTATGATCTCAGGATATAAACAATAAATAAAATACAAGGCCCGTGCAAAATACTCTTCTAAGCCGATGGAAACCCTGTGTTCATTCACAGATTTCATTGTGTTCCCATTCAATCAGACTGCTTTCCTTAGGCCGTGTTGCCACAGTACATATTATCCGATAAATTTTTGGAAAGCAGCCACTTTGCTATTTTTCCGCTGCGGAAACGGGGCCCAATGTTTCCGATAAGCTTTCGTATGAGAAATCAGATAATTTATCCAAAAAAGCTCAGAATGCAAATATAAAATAACCTTTGACCGATGTCAAACTGTCATGCAAAGAATTATTTTTTGAGTCAGTTTTTACGGGAACTATTTTTTAATGGCCTTTGCTTAAGTTCAAACACTTTATAATTAATATGAGTAAATATGTAGTGCTTATTAAGTAATATAACGGAAACCTGAAATGGCTGAGCACGACATCGACGGTGCCTAGCTGGGCTTAGGTCTAAGGTCCATCCCTACCTACTGTATCGTTTATTGTACTGTAAAGCACACCAAACAAATCTAGCATTCTTTTTCCTTTTTTTCTCCATTTGTACAGCAATACAACTCACTGTACTGTATTAATTAATTATAATTTCCTTTTCTTATATATTGTTTCTAATTACGGGTTCTAATCATACCGTATGTTATTATTTATGTATTTTTATATGTTTTATAATTTCGTAACCGTGCAATGAAATGTTTGCCGCCTGATATTTCCATTTATGGACAATAAATGAAATCCTAAAATCTTGAATTTCTATATAGAAGTACAATAAAACATCATTATGACAGTATAATTCCCAGAATGAAACCCACACAAAAAAAGGTAACCTGCTGGTCAACAAAATGAATGTTACGATGTTGTACTGTTGTCCATAATGTTGCATGATGGAATAAAATATTTGGAGGGAATTTTGAGATAATCTATCAGAGAAAATTATGGCAGAAATTGTAATTAGTGCTGCGGAAACACAGCCTTATATACGGGTTTACAAGATTTGTTCATTTCACCCATTTTTTAGATATGAAGCACTTTTCCCTCAGGGTCCATGTGATTAAGTGTTGCTGCTGGGTGGAGAGAAGCAAATGCAGATAAAGGGATTTGCTGAGGACACAAATGAAATGCACAGCGAGGGATTCAAACTCCAACCTCTAAGATTCAAGCTTCAGATTCCATTTATTTTCATATGAAATTTGTTTTCCTAAATTAGGAATACACAAAATATACATACAAATTAAATAATTACTATGCTAAAAATTAAATCTTAGCAACCTGAAATTGTTTTCAGCAAATGGCGCCAAAACAAACTCTACACTTATTATCATTACCACTATTAATTAAATAATGGTTGAGTGCATGTTGAATAGCTTGGTGGAGGGAACCTTACCTTCCAATCCCAGGGTTCAACATTGATAGAGCATCCACACAGTTATCACATGAGGCTAGTCGAGTGGCCGAGTGTTAAGGCAGAAGAAACAAATTGCCTACAATTTTGCTCCTACAAAATTAATAGAAACAATAATATAATGTTGAATAAATTATGGCATCATACTCAAAAGTGATATGCGATGGGTAAATGATAAATTTTGGTGCGTAGGGTATTTTAGCCGGTGTGTGTATTTTATTTTATTTTATTAATTGTTTTAGGCCTAAAGACAAGGATATGCCAAACAGCAAACATAATCCTTGGTTTGTATCACATAGAAGAAATCGAAATCCAAATCATTCCATCACTTTTCTTGACATATCCCTTTACCAGACAAATATAAACGCAAGATTCTCTAAGAAACCAAGTCTCATTATTTAATACGTTGTATACGTTGTACCCCATACGTTTAATACGTTGTACCCCATTTGTTTTTCCAATTTTTTTTTTCCAAAGGTACTGTATTGCACAAAATTAAAATGAATACTAACATCTCCACCAGTGAAAGATTAGGAGTAGTTTATAAGAACAAGGCATTGTTGATCCCATTGATATTCAAACTACAGACCCATGGGCTGAGCTGTTGACTCAGAGGTATTGTTCCTGCTGCTTGTGCTGAAGACCTCAGTTCAAACCCAGCCAGCATTGGGTATATTGGAGTCTGATCACTTGGTATCTTGATTAACCCTCATATTGAGAGTTCGGTGGGTTAGGAACAATGTTTGTATCCGGATGTGTCACTTATAATTTGTTGAGTCGGGTGGCGATGCACTCAGCTGCCATGGGTCTCCAGGGGTCCAGCCCAAATTTCTAATTTCCAATAAGAATGAGGACAAGTAAAACATTATTATTAATATTATTATTATTAAGATTACTACTCTAGGGGTCCCAAGTTGGAAGATGTCATTTCCAGGACAGATCTACAGTGGCTGATCCAAGAATTCAAAAAGAGTGGGGGGCCTTTTACTGATGTAGGGTGAGCCTCATCTAGCACCACCATGGTTGGGACTGAGATAAGAACATTTGTGACACTCTAAAACATACATTTTTTATTATAATTTTCTTTTTTCCCTATTATTTTTATAATCTGGAAAAACTTAGGGGCCCAACACAGCTGTCCACCCCCCCCCCCTCCTCCCTCTAATCATCCACTGATCTGCAATGGTTAACAACTTTTCTTAACACAATTAATTTTACCGCCATTCAATTCAATTGCGAGACACTTTAATTCAAGACCACTTTTTCAAAGTACCAACTAACACCTATCTTTTACCGCTGAGCTCATCCTCTAATTATGAGACCCCTCTAATTCCAGATCGAGACCACCTTTATGGAAGTAACAAGGGATAGAATGACCTCTAATTCAAGACCACTTTTGAAAATAAAAATCAAATAAATTCAAGTTTTTAAAAAAATTCTAAGAAAAAGAACAAAATTAACAGATGTATTTTCATATACTTATTCATATTATAAATAAAGGTTTCCTAATTGCAGTGGGCTGTAAAAGGGTGATATTTCCTACTTTATATTTATATTTCCTTTCCCATATCCTACATTTGACGACTGATAATGTACATACAATATCAACTACCACTGACATATTTTTGCAATACATAGAAGGTTTTTAAACAACAATTCAGGTGCATTCTAACAACAGGCTAAGTATTTATTGTATGAGATTACTGAATACTGTACAATGATGATGACAACTAACTCGCTGAGATCATAGGATTTAATCGTTTTTTGGTAGAATTTTGCGTAGAATTTGTACAATGTGAGTATCTCGTCAGCTAATCTGGTGATAACCACTATGTATGGAGAACCAAGGAGATCCATTAACCTTTGGTACCCAGTACAATCCCATCTGTTACTCTCCTTGTGGTGCAGTTAAAGGCTGGGGTTAAATGTGTCTTGGAAGAGCCTAAGCCCTTGGTCATGTGCATGCTAAGAATGCAGTATAAACTAGGAAAGATTAAAGTCTCCTGACTGGTACTGGCCAATCACCACCTGTGAAGGACCCACTGGAAATAAGTCTGCAGACTGGATGGGTGGGTTACTCTTGGTGTTCACTAGAAAGCAAATGCCCCTGTAATTGCTCAGATTGATAAACCTTCTTTGTGTTGTAAAATTATAGTAATACTGTATGGTGTACTGTGCATACAGCTTGTCTATGCAATTTTAATATATTTATATTTTTTATTTATATTTTATTCATATTTCTCTGCTTGCTATTTTATACCTCCATGGTCTATGGCTGATACATTATCAGTCATCAAAAGTACAGTAAGATACACATAGGCCTATAATGCTTATTAAAAGGTTTCTGAATTAAAAAGAAGGTCTACACCAAGGATGGGAATGGTTATTTCGTACAATGATTATTGATAAAAAAGAAGTCAAACTCGCCTATTTTTTTCCCCATACAGTACTTATCTTTTACTCCTACCATAATGCCTAAAAACATAAAATTTGACCACTGTATTTAAATTTGTGGACAAATAAATTTTCTGTATTCTGTATTGTTTTAAAATCAAAAGGGTACTGGGTTTCATTCACAGCATGGCTGTGTGTGAAACCTAATTATCAAGTCAATGATACTCAATTGTATATCCTTTTCCTGAAAGTGTTTCAGCAAAAACAGTCAAACATAATATGGAAGTGTGCATTGATGAGGTTCAGTCATGGCTTGCCCATAATAAATTATGTTTCAAGTGAAGACCAAAATTTTGTAAATACTGTAGCTCCTGCTCACCCAGACATACCTGTCCTTCAACAACTGAGAGTTGGCAATATTTCAATCTCAGCATCTAAAGAAGTACAAAATATTGTGTGACTCTTGACCTATCACCTATAGGATCTGTGTAGAAAAACATATTCAATACTTGCAAAGCTGTTTGGTACCACCTCCACAACATCAGAAAGGTAATTAAATTTGCTCAATGAAGGTGCTACTTCCAAACTTATCCATGCTTTAGTTAAATCATGATTGGATTATTGCAATGGTGTTCTTTATGGCTTGTCCTAGAAAATGCTGAGGAAAGTCACTCCATAAATCATTCCCCCACTACATCTCCAATATTATTTCACTTCCTTCTGCTGTTTGCACCCACAGACTTAGGTCTACCTCATCTTCATCTACCATTCATAACTGTCCCATTGGTCACCACACAACTTGTGGCGATCGTTCTGTCTGGTTGCTGCTCCAAAGCTTTGAAACCAACTACTGTACCTGAGACTGTTTGACTGTCTCCAAGTCTTGGCTCAAATCCCATCTTTTTTCTTTATTTTAATTCTGAACTTGATTCCTTTTCTTTTGCTTTTTGTTTAAAATTCTTTCTAGTTTTGTGAGCACATGGGCTGTGGTTTCTTTACATATAGAAACGATTTTGTATAATGCACATTATAAGTACAGGTATATCACTATTAAGATTAGCAGTAATGAAGTAGTGCAATTTGTGGATTACTATGAACTTAGCGGGTGTGCTCATGGCTCCACTGCTAAGTGTATGTATGACCCAATAGGGCTTCTGCCTTGCTGAGGGCTACTAGGTGGATTTAGTGGCATAAATGCATCTCAACTGTCTTTTGTATAGTAAAATTCTTAAAAGAAGAAAACAAAGATTAAAGAATAGATAACTACCATGCTTTAGTGCACCCACATGTAATTCATAATAAATCTGTTGACTTTAATTTTTAATGATTTTTTTCTTTTAAGTAAAACTTACTACTGAAATGTTTTATTTTTTTATTTGCATATAGTGATATTAACATGTAGAACTATATAGTGCAAATAAACAAGGTCTCTATAATCCTTTCTCCATTAAAACATTAACAAAAAACTAAACTAAGTAAATAACAATCCCCCAACCACTGTATAAAAATCTATCATTGACATTTTTATCATCATTGTTAAAAAAATCCATTGAGAGTATATTTATTTCTTTACATAAAACCGACAACCTGCATATTACATAGTACCGTCCTATTATACATTTTATAGTATTTTGTATTGTTATTGGCCAGAGGCTTATAGATGACCACTTGATGTGTTGTTGGGCTTTCCCATGTCATCTCTAGTCACACCCCTGGTCAATATATATTTAAAAGGTAATTGAGGAATCTTCCATTCATAAAAATTGTTTCATCTTTATAGGGAAGGGCATTTAAAAGGCAAATACTGCATGAATAAATCAAAGACAAGATCTTTTTTACCTGGGAGTATTTGTAAAAAATCAACTGAGTTTCTTGTTTAAAACCTGGACTGTTGATTGGGATTGGGGGAGGGGGGGACACTAATACATAAGGCCAAAATTAAAAAAAGTGTTTGTTTCCGGTCGATCGCCCGGGTGGATTAAAAAAAAAAAAAAATACCCGCAACGTAAAACTAAAAAAGGGATTTCCCCATCTCACAGACTATTTTGGTTATTAACGATCCATAATAAAGGCTATGCCCAAGGATCATTGTTGGTATACTGTACAAGTTTTTCATTTTTATATGTTTGTTTACTGTATATTATTATTATTATTATTAGTATTATTATTAAGTAACAAAGAAAAATATGAACTGTAGCCTCACGGTGTAGGCCTAGCCTGCGATAGTGAGCGCGTAGATCATCACAAAACTTCAACTTAACCGTTCTACTTACCATTCAACTTGATTGATTTCCGATTGCGGTACAAAGCGTTCTTTACCTTTACTTCGTATTGTATTTTACTACCATATAATTTTGATCCACAATAAAGGCTATGTCCCAAAGGATCATTGTTTGTATGTCAAATATTTTCTGTTTCTTTATTTTAATATGTTTTACTGTAAAGCGAAGTTGCTTCGTAGCTATCTAGGGGCCTACAGGCAGCGATGCGGCAGTGGGCTGAGGCACTGAGGTCATCGAACCATCATCTTTCTCCTGTCTCCTCCTCTCATTACCTCGCGGAGTATTTTACAGCATAGGACGCACCACAAACCTGTAAAAAAGCTTAGGCGCGTAAACCTGTCTCTTATACCCATCT